CAGAGCAGAGTTTAGGGCTGTTGTACATAGGGTTGCTATGAGTCGCAAGCGACTCGACGGCACATAACAACAACAACGACAACAACAGTGAAGCTGTATACACCTTGTGTGTGTTTTGAAATCTTTCTTTAGGAGTTACTGTCAACAATAATGTCCAGATTAATTTCAATACTAATACAAAACCCTGCAATAGAGTTTCACATTGGTCTTCAGGTCTTTATTTAACCTTGATGAGTTCATTTTGCCGTTTCCCTGGTGGTACAGTAATTAAACATTCAGCTTAATTCAGCGACCCAAAAGATGAGTATTTCTAACACACTAGCCACTCCTCAGGAAATGGATGTGTCAAGCTGTTTCCATAAAGATTACAGCTTTTGGAAACCCTATGCAGCATTTTATAGAGTTGCTGAATTAAAATTGATTTGACACTAACAGTTTTGGTCTGGTGTTTTTGTATTTGTATGAGTCCATTTTTGCTCTGTAGATCTGAAACCTTGGCAGCCAATGCTTAGGCATGACGTCGTAGGTCAAAGACAACTAACCACGCGGTTGTTTTTAGTTGAAGATACTAAGCAGTGTGCTTCCTCTGCAGTGTGCTTCCTCTTTTCCTTGGTGCTTACACGTCTGTATAAACTTCTGAATTGGTAGAGGTCACTTGATAGATTGAGCAGGATGCTGAGCCTCCTTTCAGAAACTGGCATAGATTTTATTTTTTGCATGAAACCCTGAGATTCCAGTGCTTCAGCCCTCGACTGCTAACCACAAGGGTTGGCGGTGTAAACCCATTAGCAGCTACACCAGAAAGAAAAACCTGACTGTTCACTCCCATAAAGATTACATAGAACACCTGGGAGCTCAGGACCTTAGAACTGACAAAAAATAGTCCACAACAAATACTGTGTTAGACCATTATTGTAAAAAGAGAAAGCTAACTAGTAAAATATGCATGAAGGTCCAAGAAGGAAAGAGATGAGAGCAGAGGGATAAGGATGGGCAGGAGAAAATCGCCATGTCACACAGTTTGGAGGGTGGTGGGAAGGGGTGAAAGAAATAGGAAAGATCCAGTTGGGAACTGAAAAGATAAGGTAATGGTGGGCATAGTTCAGTGGTGATTGATTTTATATAACACAGTATCTGGGAATGATTGTATGTAATGTGGAATGAAGGAAAGTGTGAGACTCTGTACATTGTGAAGGCTATAGTCTTTATGGTTTTCTCCTGTTGGCCAGGTAGCTGTGTTCTAAATTTCTTGGCTTAGTTGAGTGAGCATGCCCATTTGTTACATCTGTTTGTTAAAATATCTCCATTAGAATCAGCATAACTAGAATTTAGTTCTTTCAAAGAATTAATGTAATCAACAAGCTACTGGAAAGTCTAATGAAGAAAAAGGATATGATCTTTGAAATAATCACAAATAAGAAATTAAATGTTCCTGTTGTTGTTATATACATTGAATCAGAACAGACTCATAACTCACCCTCCAGTGGGTTTTCAGAAACTGTAAATTGCATGAAAAGAGATTGCCCATCTTTCTCCTGCAGAACAGCTGGTGGATTTGAACCATCTGGCTTTGGTTTAGCAGTGCAACTCCTTACCATTAAGCCACCAGAGCTCCCTAAGAGATTAAATAAGTGATATCAAAACAGAACTGACTTAAGAGGATAGTAACAGAATCTTCTGTAAGATGTTTCACTGCTAACCAGGATTTTCTGTGGGGATTTTAATCCACCAGGTGCAGGTGCTCCTAGAGAGAAAGATGGACCATTTCTTCTAGTTCACTTACAGCCATGAAAATTCGTTTAAGAGCTGCCATGAGCTGGAATCCACTGTTTGAGTGTGAAGAACTTTATT